AACTAAAATAACTGAAAATCCTTTCTCAAAATAATGTCAAATATATGTCTCTCCAACAGACTAATGATCTTCATTGGCAGGGACTCAAAGTAGTAAACTGTTAACCCATCTGGCTCACATCCGCGCCTCCCTTTTTCTAGCTAATGTGGTTTATCTCTGCAACGGGGGAAAATTCTGACGTTTCAATTCAGTGTGTAGAACTTATTATGAAGTCGGAGCATGTTTATACTTTTATGCCTAGATTTGGACAGATATAAAAGTCCAGCTGAACACCAAAATTATTAACAGAAATCTATTCCTGCAAGATGATATATGTTGGGACATATAGCTTAACCAAGGCACTACGTAACTCTTGAATAACGCAGACACTCTTTAGAAGATGTATCTATCGTGTCTCTCTGAGTATTGATTATGGTATCGTCCAATTCGCCGAATCCTAATCAATTTTTATTGGAATTAATCAGCTTACGTTTACCTTTAAATTATTTAAACTACTATGAAGGTGTATTAAAGGAAACATTGCATTGTAAGCAGTTGTGGACATTAAGAACAAAGGTAAGGCCTTAAGGCAATGACGAGGCCCTACGGACCTAAAATATAAAGTTTATTAATTTAAAACAACCTAATAAACCAGCGATGAAGGCAAGTCGTTGGACTGCAACCGTCGGATCCCAAACCGAGAAATAAGCCGTTGATATTGGAATATTTTGTTGTTGAAAGTGCATGCAATCCGTGTAAAAAGAAGCACAGTCGCACAAAAGCTTCATAGACAATAGCGATGTTAGTTTAGAATGAATTATGTGAACGTTTTCAGTTGGGGTATGTCATCTTTTTTCCTCTGCGCTTGTGACTAAAAGTTGTTTTCTCTGCAAAATGATTGCTTAAGATGTGATTACGGAACACCGGCATAGTAGTTAACCGGTATATTTATATCCTCTGAAGCAGTCCAAATGTGTACACGATTACGTACCAATGTCTCAAAGGAAACGAGAACTTAGGAGAATTAATTGCCAGGTCTAACCGGTCGATCGAAGCAGGAATTCAACCTTGCTTCTATCGAATTGAAAAAATAATGAATCTGTCCCGAACTATTTAATCTCGCAAACAGAAGTGATTATGCGATACTTGCAAGGTAGTGTCAGATGTGTAGATTATGGGAAACAATGGTTTGTCACATAGGATATCAATGGGTAAAGCGGTTTCACTAACCAGCAATTGGCAGGTTGTGTGTCGAGAAAAATCTGGCACTCGTCAATGGGAACGTAGTTTAAAATAATATCACGTTTCTCTTGAACCAGCCCCTAATACAAAGAACGACGAACAGAACAGGGATAAACCCAAATTCTCAAAGGCTACTCTCTATATTAGACGAGCTTAGGGTCCAAACATGCCGAGTTGTACCAGATTTCATCACTAAAACAGAAAAATGGTTGTCCACGAAGGTAGACGATCAGGAAGTTGCCCTCTGCGGTTTTCAGTTGCTCCGAAAAGCTAGAGCTGGCCGTCAAGGTGGGGTATGTTCACTTATGTTACACACGGCCTGACCGTGTC